CAGCCAGGCATACTCTCTCACACACATTCACACACAAACACACACTCGGAGACACACATACACATACACAAACACACTCAGAGACACACACACATTCTCACACAAACACGCTGTCGGAGGCCCACACTTTCACACACATTCTCACGCAAACACGCTTTTGGAGACATACACACTCTCGGAGACACATTCTCACACAAACACACTCTCGGAGACTCTCTCACACACACACTCACTCGGAGACACACTCTCTCACACACATACATTCAGATGTAGTTTCCCTCTCTCACACTCACTCGTGTTCTCAGACACATACACCACTGAGTTTTCACAACCACGATTGAAGTGTACAAGAAAACGCAAATGATTGAACTCCCAGTCAATTTGTACGGGAATGAGACGAGGAAGCCTTATCTGCCAAGCACACAGAGCGTGATAGATAAACGGCTAGGAGTTAGGAATTCGATTGATGAAGCGGTTCCGCTATTTGTGCGCTCGTTCGCTTCGAGACAGCGAGCCCTGAGTCAGGGAAAGATCTCGGATTTCCCGGATACGGGTGCTGTTTGCAACTGAGAATAAGCAAAGGCTGTCAACACAATGGAGCTCTTGCTCCCTCACACTTCAGCTTGCTCCCGCTCCACTCTATTGCACTCTCTCTTCACTCCCTCTATCGCCATCTCTCCTCAATCTGTCTATTATATTCTCTCCTCACTTTCTCTATCACCCTGCCTCCTCACTTTCTCTATTATCCTCTCTTCTCATCCTCCTATTACCCTCTTTCCTCACTCCTTCTTTCACCCTCCCTTCCCACTCCTATCATCCCCCTCGGCACTCCCTCTATCACCCTTTCTTCACACTTACTCTATCACACCGTCTTCTCAATTACTGTCTCCGCTCTTCTCTCTCCCAACACATTATTTCTCACTTTGCTCTCTGCGCTCTCACTCCGACATACCTCTCTCCCATTATCTCTCGCCCTCCAATTCTCTCCCACCTCCTTTTCTTTCCCCTCTCCCTTCCTGTCTCTCTGTCCCCTCCTCTCCGTCCCGCTCTTCCTTCCTTATCTTCTTTCACTTTTCTCTTTCCCCCCTTCCCTCTCCTCCCACTTTCTTCCCTCTTTCTCCCCTCTCCCTCTTTCTTCGCTCCCCTCTCTACTCTTTCCTCCTCCCTCTCTTCTCTGCATTCTCCTCTCCGTCTCTCCGCTCACCCTGTTTCTCCTCTCCTACTCTCCCTCCTGTCCCTGACTTACTCCCTTCTCTCTCCCCTCGCGCAATCCTCTCTCCCCCTGTCTCTGCTGTTTTCTGTCTCTGCCCTCTGAAAAGCACCACCGCCTCCTCTGTTACAAGCACCCCCCACCCCTACTCGACCGAGCAAAGCCTTGTCCGACATGTATCCTCGGGAACCCGAGACCGACTCACCACCACAGGCTGATGATGTTGGCGGGGTACAGCAAACAGAAGAAAACTCGGAGCTGAGCTGCGGCGAAAGGCCACATCTTGGTGTCTGTCCAGCTCAGAGAGAGGCACTGGAACACCCTCCTTCCCTTGCTTTCTCTCCTGTTCCGCTCAGTTCACCCGCGGATTTTCATCTCCCGCAACGACTGGGAGAGGGGAGGGGGTGGGAGGGGGTATCATTTCGTCTCTCTCTCTCTCCTGATCTGTGCGTATGTGTGTGTGTGTGTGTGTGTGTGCGCGCGCGTGTGTGTGTATGTCGGACCGGCTGGAACTGAAGGAAGGAGGACCCCGACTCCTCAAATGGGCATTGGGAATAAAACCACAGCTCCGATAATGACCACCCCCTCCCCCTCCCAGGGGAATCCGGCGGCTGTCCATCTCCAGTGTCGCTTGAAAGCAGGTGAAGGACAGTCATTTCGAGCATCCAGTTTCAGAATGATACACAAGACTGAGATCCAGAGAGACCAGTAACCATTCAACACCCAAATGATATGGTTTAACATCCATCGTTCAATATGTCTTCAAATGGAATGCACATATCGAGATGGATGCATCAATTGACATCTTATATGATCCCCCCTTTTTCATATCTCATGATTTTATTTTAAAAGCCTGTTTTCTTCCTTCCTCAGTTTACTTTTTCCCTTTTGTATGAAGAGAATCTCTCTCCAGTAAATCCCATCCTCAGTCCATGAGGTTTTAGAGCTCCCGATGCGCTCATGTCTGAGGCGTTTTCGGGAAGCGAGTTTGAACCCGGATCTTGAGAAGCTGACATCTGACAAAGGGCTCCCTAAACGGATTGAACAGTAAATCGGTTCATGTGCATGATTGCGCCAAGCCCTTTCAGATTCTCAAGGATAAAGGGAGAGAGGGTGGGGGGGGTGGTGAAGAGAGAGAGAGAGAAAGACTGAGGAAGAGCTTGAGCAATTCAGAGGAAAATGATAAACGTTCCCAAAAACCCGGGCCCTTTTCGCCTCCGAAATTCCTCGTTGCCATCTAATCCCGAACACAGCATAATGGGTCACAATCCTGCAGCAGACTGTGAAGAAGCGGCCTACTCAGTGGCTTGACAGAGGACAGCGCTCGGCTACAAACAGCACATGTATTATCCATAGGTCTGGGAGCAGTCTTAATTCAGATTCAAATGCTTTTAATCAACCTGTTCAGGCGTGCTAGGATACACCTCTGGAGCAGGTGGGTCTTGAACTCGTGTCTTCTGGCTCTGAAGTAGGGACACTACCACTACACTATACTACAAGAGGCCCAAGCGATTACATAGTAAGTAATAATCCATAAAGATAGGAATTGCGACTGAGTTAGCAACACCCATTAATTCGGGGTAAAGTAACAGTGATCATGTCAGGGGACTAGTAAACCAGAAGCCTGGATTAATGATTCAGAGGCATGGGTTCAATTTCCACGACCAAAGACCTAAGAAGTTCAAACCCAACTGAGATTTAACAACTTTGGAACGACTTCTATGTTAGCAATGGTGACCATGAAACTAAGCGATTGGTGTAAATGAGAACTCATCTGGATCACTGATAG